GTCACCAGAAGAGCATGAGGCAAGTTGGTGAGTGACAGGGTTGTAGGCAACACACTGGATAGAGTCATTGTGACTAGAGATAAACACAAAAAACAAAAAGAGATGGAGGAATACAACCTGCAGAGAGGACACCTTAATACTGAAGTGATGAGCAAAAGTGATACTTACGTATATTTTAAAATACCCTCCAATTTAGATGTCCAGATGATGATGCTTTTGTCTGCTGACCCTGAGGCAAACCTTTTACCTGCAGAACAATGCAGTAATCAGTAATATAGTGGTGACTGATACAGGAAAATGTAGTGTACAAATGGAGAGCCAGATGAGTACCATCTTTCGCATAGGCCACACAGTACACAATATCTTTGTGTCCTTTTAAAGGCTGGATAATATTTCCATCTGCTGTGTCATAAACCTGCAACAAAAAAATACAATACATTAAACATAATAATAACAACTCATATATTCTTTCTATATGTTTCTTGGTGAAAGACAGCAAAAAAAAGCCTTACCAGGACACGAAGTCCTGCAGCAATTATGAGTTGGCTGCCATCTGGCTTGAAGGCAAGATCATAAACACTGCAGAAGAGAAAGATGGTGATGAAAAGTTATTCAATTAATCTATTAATCAATAAAAGGCTGTTTTGATTATCCGTTCATTGTGTAAATCCTTTTTCTTCCTGCTTCTCAAAACTTAAGATTCGTTGCTTTTCAGTTTCCTTTATAAAACTGTGAACTGATTATCTTGAATTTTGGAAAACTTATTTGACAAAACAAGTAATATTTCGTAATATGTAATATGTTAATCGTTCACATAACTGTAGACCTAATAATACTTTAATCATTTGTAAACACTGGATATACAAATTGAATCGAAATTGATGAAGGCAAATAAAAGTATGACTGTACAGAAACATTTAATCACGGACTGCCAGAGGTATAACGTTAGATGTATAACGTAATATTAATTAATAACTTCTTAGATTAAATGTTATGTCATTCACATCAAACAGTGACGTGAAGCAACAACCCCAGCTAACCACAGCTAGCTAGCTTAACGTTAACTTTAGCTCCGACTTAACGTTCGTGCTACAACTCTGACATGCTTCACTATTGACAGGATAAACAACAGCACTAACTTACATCTTACATACAAGAAATATACACCCGCTTTATTGCCTCTGTCATTTATGAACGACAGTCTAAGTGCTACGTTGGCTAATGCCAGCTAACCTAACTATAGCTGCTAACACTAGTTTACATAGCAACCGCCGTTGCTAACCACCTAGCGTTACATCCCAGCATCGGGCCCTAGGTTGACAGCGTGAATATAAACATTTAGACACTCACCATTGTTCACGAATAGTTTCTTTCCATGCTAGAACAGCTCTCATTTCCACCTTTTAACAGCAAAGAGGACAGATGGATATTTTATCTACAGGTTGTTATATTCGGTCGCTTTTTCATACTAAAGCACCGTTTTCATGATTCGTTCTTACTGCGCAGACTCGGATCTGCACGCTACTTCCTTCCTGCAAAGCAAGCCGTGTGTGTTGTGTTCGCCAAAACTAGACTTCCACTCCAGTATTGACATCAGAAAGCAACCGGGAAAGAAGAGTACTGACATCGGTCACCGCATTTGTCCTGTACGCCTGTACGGAAGTAAGGAGTTAGACCAGTATTAATGTAATGTTATGTAAACCTTTGAATAAGTCTGCATTGACATTTTGGGGCTTTCATGTCAATATCTGCTGTTCAATAACATCCACTATGGGTTGCTTCTTTACTACAACTGAGAGATGTCAGGTATGTGTTGTTGTGAATTCTAGGTAAAGGTGACACAGACCAGGAATGGCTGATGTGGGAGTAAAAAGTCATCTGCTGAAGCTTTAACACTGACTCCACCACAAAAACAAAAAACCCAATTATCAAAATGCACCCTGCTGGCTGTCACATCCGGCTTGAGACCAGTGGAAACATAAATGACCAAAGTCGCAAGGACAAGGATGATTCGTGCCACACTTCACTAATGCCCCCTGGCTGGATCAGGGAGGTGAGGCAAAGGAAAGCTGGCAAGACAGCAGGCAAACTGGACGTCTACATTACAAGGTGACTCAGTGTTTTCTTGTAATCTTCTCTGTATGTAATCATCACCTCTTTGCTTTGTAGATGCAGTTCTATTATTGTCTAATTGGTTGTCTACTTTCTGTTGTGTAAGTCCCCAAGGGCTGAAGTTCCGGTCAAGAGCATCCCTGCATGCTTTCCTCTTAAAACATGGAGAAGAGAACTTGGACATAAACCTTTTTGATTTCACTGCATTGAAAGGCAATGATATCACCACCCCTTCCCAAGTGAAACAGAGGGGAAAAAAGAAAAAACATGCAGATGCACAGCAGGAGGATGCAACGGAAATACTGGATCCACCTCCAAATAAATCTAAAAGAGCCTCTTCCTCCCTCAGACGTACTAAAGACAAGAAAGTTAGGAGTTTGGAGGATTCTAACCGTATTAACACTGACATTGTACCAGAGGAGATCCCACATATACCAGAAGAACAAGCTGCTCCTTCAACCACAGTGGATGACGTCACACTGCAGAGGAGCCCTCATAGGGTGGGTCTGCTCAGGGAGAAGCTCCTCAGACTGGCTCCTTCCAGTAACCAGCAAAACACTTTGGTTGTTGACAAGTGCGAACAGGCACACTTGCAGCCTTCTCTCCCGATTCTGAATGTTGAACCTGCCACTGAGAGCGAGAATGAGGGTGAGGATGAACGAGCCGGAGACGACGAGATTCACAACAAAGGTGACAACAAACCTAATTCTGAACTGGAGGCTGATGCCGACAGTCACCAGGATGTGGAAGAGAAAGTGTTATTACCAGACATCACTTGTGGGGGCACACCAGTGAGAGATTCCCAGAATAGTAAGTATGATCTACACTTTGTGACAGCTTGTAAAAGCAGCAGCTCAAGTTAGTTTTCTTTGGATCTACTCTTTTTTTTTTTTTACTTATTTTTACTTTTAGTCGAATTTTGTCATATACAGTGCAGTACAATTTTAATACAATTTGGACAATTTTAACGTGTCCGTTTTTCTTTATCCAATTCCCAGCTGCCTTCATATTTCCTTCTTCAAAGAAACCAAATACACACAGAACCTAAAAAAAGAAAAGGAAAAAAGGGGGTGGAGATACAGTATACAGTCTAATTAAGAGGGAGGGGAATATAAATGTAAATTATTACAGAATAACAAGATGTGCTTTGTTCCAATTCCCATGTTTCCATAGTTTTTGAATCCATATGTTGTATAAGGCTGGATCTTTTTTCTTTGGACATGCCCAAAAAAATGTATAAATGTGTATTAATTATCTATGTTGTCTGGAAGCATTTGAACTAGTCACCAACTGTGCCTCCCTTCATTCATTTCTCCTTTATTTGTAAAGTGTTGTTTGGGTTCATGGACAGAAATATTTGACTTCATTGGAGATTACTTTTGTATCATCATTTCCAGTTTGCAAGTCTGGAAAGAACTGCTCTGTTGGAGTGGGTTTTAAAAAATGTTTACCCTTTACTTATGTGCTGTAAGAAATTTGTTCTTTGTTTTTAAATATACATAAATCTGCCCTGTCTGCCTAGAGTCCAAGAACATGGAAGACAAACGGAAAACAAGCCCTTATTTCAGCAAGAAACCCCCCAAAGATGGTAAAGTTAAAATGGTTCATTTAATCCAAAAAGCCAGAGAAAGAGTGTGTACATTTGAATGTGAGACATAAAGTTTACCTCAACATTTATTAAATAAAGTTGTGTGTAGCTTAAGGAGACATTTACACCATCTGTAAACAGCCCTTAGCCCACCCAGGAGGAAGGCCTTCAAGAAGTGGACACCCCCTCGCTCTCCTTACCACCTCGTACAGGAAACCCTTTTCCATGACCCCTGGAAGCTCCTGGTGGCCACCATTTTTCTAAATAAGACCAGTGGTAAGATCCAACATACACATACACACACTGCTTTGCAACATTATTGTACCAACCGGTACACAAGTCTAGATTTTCTCTTTTTTAGGTAAGATGGCCATACCAGTACTGTGGCAGTTCTTTGAGCTTTACCCATCTGCAGAGGTGACCCGAGAGGCCGACTGGAAGCCCATGTCTGAACTTATGAAGCCACTAGGCCTGTATGAGCTCAGGGCCAAAACACTTGTTCGCTTCTCAGGTGAACGCTTGTCTACTGTACATGCAGTACGTTTGTGCATAGTAATTACAGTATCATTGCTGTGTAACTGTGTTGCCACTGTCACTGGTTTGGTTATAATATAATATAATATAAGACAATATCAGTGGCCAGAAAAAAACATCACAATCCCTTTTCTCTTGTGTAGATGAATATCTAACTAAACAGTGGCGTTACCCCATTGAGTTGCATGGTATTGGGAAGTATGGCAATGACTCCTACAGGATCTTCTGTGTGGGAGAATGGAGACAGGTCAGTATAATTCCAACTATTTTACTTTCAGTGAATTATGTTAGTTTTGTAATAATAATGACAAATCTGTTTGTTTTTTTTAACATATATATCAAAGGTGACACCTGAAGATCACATGTTAAACAAATACCATGCCTGGCTGTGGGAGAACCATGAAACACTCGGAATCTGAAACACAAAGTTTGAGGAACGGCAAGGAAGAAAATCAGTTATATTGCATAAACACTGCTGTTTTGTAACAATATGAGTATTATGATGAACTTACAAAGTTAAACCTGAATTGCTTTAAAATGTTGCAGTGACAGTCTGAAGATATCGGTGTTATCCTTTCTTCAAAAAGTTTTAAATAATCTAATAAAATGTTTTAAGTGGTTTAAAAGTTGAAATGATTCATGAGTGCATTATTCAGTCAGCCTGACTGGCTTTCTTATGCCATCCGGAGACATCTTCTGAGTGTATCTGGTTAGTCCATTGTGACATGCTAATAATCTTTCTTTTCGAGTGCACTGATGCGTTGCCTTACACTCCACGCAGCAGCTTTCTTTTTGTGGGAGGTAACCTGATTCCCAAGGCAACTGTTGCCACTGCAAAACACTCACAGGCACAGGCATTTTTCTGTTTAATCTGTAACTAGTACCAGTACATACATTTTCCATATTGATATTTAGAGTTGTGTAATGATTTACTTATAATAGAATTGCATCTTTAAGAAGATAATTAAATAGTGCAGGATTTGGCACCTTGGAAAGTTTCATTCAAAGTCTGGATTTCTCTGGTGGGTGAACAGAAGAACTTGAACTACAAAATGAAACTACGTAAGAAAACAGCTTTATTTTTTCCATTTGTTTTCCATTTTAGTGTTACCAGTAAACATACTAAATCTGCTGTGATTCTGTTCATCTCAATCTTCGTTACCACAGCAGCCATCTCTATCGCTTCCACACCAGTGTGTATTCCTCAAGACACAACTCCTGTCCGGCAGAGTCGCTGCCTGGTGGTCACTCCCATGACCTTTCCCATCATCTCAGACTCTGCCCGGCTGTGGACGAGCACTCAGGTCAGCAGACATTCAATGACACTAAGCTTAATTGACTGACAGACTCATAGGATGATGGTGTTTGCTTTTAGGTAAAAATGAAAATACTTGCGTTATTCTCTTCCCTAGAGTATTCCGAGACTGAACCCTTTACATCCACCTTTGGTCCATAAACGCACCGTCAGTCTGGAGACACCAGCTGTACACCACCACAACCACCAGAGGACGCTCATCCTGCAGAGGAGAGAGCATTACAGGTAGGAGCATTTCACATAATAACTCACTGTATATGATGTAGAATTAAAGGTGCCTTCTTGGTTTCAGAGAGCTGAATTCAAAGTCACTGACTTATAGTTGGTTGATGTGTTAGGTATCACCAAGTGTGGCGAAAACCGTTTTATGGAACCAGCAGTGAGAGAGAAGAGTACAGGTAAAATAATGAACACTTTCACCTCACTTCCTGTACTGATGAGTTTTTTTCTTTTATCCTCTTTCCTAAATGAGAAATGCATAACATGCTGCATATATATTTCTCAACTTTCACTGGTGACAAAGAAAAGTCTCTTTCCTGTAGGAAGGAGTTGCGAGAGCAGTTAAAGAAGCAGATGGAGGACAAATGTGTAGCACTGAAGCTGCAGCTGGCCAGTAAAGTAAAGGAAGCAGAGCATATTCGAGAAGTGGACCACATTGCTCTGTCCAGTGACAGAGAGCAAAGGATCCAGCACAGCAAAGCAATGACGGCTTACAGAGATGAGAACAAGAGGGTATAGTCCGACACATAAATAATGTATACACTGCTAATGCTTTTGTGTTTATGCCCCATACAATGATGTCCTGAAAATACTTAAACATGCTGGGTGTTCTCAGGTTACAACAATATAGGGAGTGTTTGAGGTTTTTCTCTGGTCTCTGTCTCTGCTTTGTGTGTGTGTGTGTGTGTGTGTGTGTGTGTGTGTGCAGCTAATGGAGCAGAGCTGGAGGGACAGAGCACTAACACGCTCCCAGGAGGCCCTGAAAGAGAGAGAGCTGCTGTGCCTCAACCCCATTAACTGGAGTGGAACACTGAAATAGGTTGAACTTCAACATCCAGAGTAAAACCTTCAGACCTCAGGCCTCAACGAAGCACTTGGGCATGTGCGTGTCAGATTAAATGGAATACAACATATATAGTACATGCAATTAGTGCTGGGATAGCCTTTGAAGGTACTTTAAGAGGGATATTTCTAGGATTTTCTAAACTGGGATGAACCAAATGAAGCTCTCCAGTATTTTTCTGTATATTTAAAAATGTTTGTTATTTCCAATCTTACCTTATAAACATTCTCTTATTTGCTGCTGTGGGTTCCAATACAGTAAATCCACAATTTAAGAGTACTCCATTGATTTGGCATTGCACCCTTCAACCTGCTACCTACATTATGCTAGTAATGGCTACTGTAGCCTCAAGCAGAGATGAAGGATGGGCCTCAGAGGTCTGGCCAATCTCTGTCAATGTACTCTAACTCTACACCCCCAGTTGTTTTTTTTTTATTTTCAAACTTGTGGTCTTTATACTTAATTTTATCATAATTTTTAAATCAGATTTCACACAGCTCCATCTGCCACAGAAGACTTTATACAACTATTCACATACATTTATTAGTAAAGCAAGACCTGCAAACTTTGATGTGTAAAATCAGTGGACTTCCCCTTTAAGAATGATTGACTTCCAGCATGTCTTATAATTTATCATGCAACAGGAAGTAAAACATCCTTTTCCTCATTCTGTTTATGTAAAGAGCAGAGGAGGCCTGACCAAATGAAATTAAAATTTTGAATAAAAAAAAACATGAGAAGTGACAAACTTTTTATTGTAAAGCGAACATCGATAATGAATAATGACTGAACAACTTCCCACACTAGAAAACCCGAAGAAATGAGATGGACGGGTAAGAAGTGATGCTTCAGTGGCTTTCTAACATGATGCTACAATATCTGCTAGAATTACAACTGAACAGATTTAAAAACTGCATTGAAAATGCACACAAAAATATACAAGAAATGTGAAATATGATAATCATCTTCCCAATAAATATTGCTTTCAAAATAAATTAAAAGGCAACAGAAAATGGCTTTAATCATCCAGATTAGAGCTGGCATTTTCCAGAAGCACATTCCCTCACACACTCATTAAATGGTCAATAGCAGTAACGTTGGTGATCCAGCAGCTGTTGAAGTCAGTCTTCCATGCCAAAATAAGACAATAAATTAATACATACAGTGTCGTACCTTTCATTTCAAATTCTATTTTCATGCATTATTACTAAAAAGAATCATTCAGTAAGTAAGGAGGTAAAAAGTCGTTCTGTGAACATAAATAATCAGTGGTTCATAATGGAAATATCCCAGAGTTTCCATGAGCTCTCTTTTTGGGGTGATTGTGGAAATTCCCTTATCTAACCCCATGCCCATTACAAGAAGCATTGAGATAATGAAAAACATTATGGACATGACGACAGGAGGTTTTGATTGTGTGGAAGAAAACGACATCATTTCTTGAGCAACATCCAAATGCATAATAAACTTTAACAATCAGTAGTGGTCTTCACGTCACCCTTGTTCCCAACAAAGTTGAGGTAGGGGATTCAGTTTAGTTCCTTTACATCAGTGCAGTGTTGCTTTGTTATTCCGCTTCAAGATTCACACTTCATGGCCTTCAAGTTCTCAGTTTTTCTATTCATAAACATAAATAAACCCAAGCCCTTTCAAGTAATTCCCCAATCCCAAATAAATCCCTGAAAGGCAAGCATTGTAGGGATAGTTTCCTGCCCCTAACCGGCTGGTATTCCAAGGTCCCAAATTGTGGTCCCAAATTGTGGTCCCAGACTGTCTAGCGTCCTTTCAGAAATCCATCCAGCATGTAGTCTCCTTTTTCTGTCAGCCAGTATCCAGCCATAGCTGCCACACCTCCAATGAAAATGGCTGTGAAAACCATGTCGCCCTTTGCAGCGAGCGTAGCTAGGGCACAGATTACCACGCCGAAGAACATCTGCTGAAGCACAAGGACCTCCTCATCTGTTATGTCATCAAACAGCCCCTTCTCTGGCCCAGCTGAGGTGGTAGAGGAAAAGAAACTTAATCGAAACATCTGAGAAGCTGTCAACGACTAATGTGTTTGGATATTTACTGCTACGACGACTTACCAGGTGGCTTATTCTCAACACAAATGCTATCTCTTCTAATGAATCCATCAGCACAGTCACAGTGGAAGGAGCCCTCCTCATTGGTACAAGCCTCATTGAGTCCTGGGCATGCTATTGCACGTTCACTACATTCATCGATATCTGTGTGAGGAAGCAAAGAGAGACAGTTTAAAGGAAATGAGGAAAAGATACAGAGATATAAAGTAAGTAAATAAAAAGGTATATCCCTACCGAGACACTTGGCTCCTTTCAATCTGTAGCCACGAGAACATTTCTTACAGCGGGCAGGACCACTACCCATGCAGCCCACACACGCCTGGTCACAGCCTGGATACAAGCAAAAGCAAAGTGGGGAAAAAAAACATTACTCAGTGGAAAATTACCACAAAGAACTGCAACTAATGAGTTTTACAGCAAGTAACCTAACTAGAGCTACAAAGTTTATCAGACAAACATAAATTGGCGAGTGTTTTGAAAAAAAAAAAAAAAAAAGTATTTTCTCAAGCAAAAATGACCAAAAATTTGCTGCTTTTCTTTGTCATATGTGACAGTAAACTGAATGTCTTTGGGTTTTGGACTGTTGAGCAAATAAAACAAGCAATTTAAATAACAGGCATTTTTCAATATTTTCTGACATTTTAGGTACAATACAGTACACTGACTTAAACAGCTACACAAGAGAGCATACCTCTGCATTCATATGATCCGTCTGTGTTGTGACAGTAGGTGTTAGACGCACAACGAGCCAGCTCTGTACCACACTCGTCAATGTCTAAGAGACATACAAGGGCAGTCAAATAACACGCATCCAGGAAACTGGCACAGAGTCAATGAAATGTTGCCACATGACCTCTAAAGCCACACTCACCCACGCACTTGTTGTCATGAAGCATCCAGCCGGGTTTGCAGTCAAAGCATTTGTAGTCCTGTGGCCCTGCACATTTCTTACATGAGTGGTAGCAAGCTACAAATAATGAAAGAGGAGGGGACAGTGAGAGGGTCAATTTTCGATGACCTCAAACAGAATTAAATCCATGTAGAGGGTTGAAACAATTGTCTAAATCTGAGGCACCTGCACAGGCTCCAATGCTGTCATTGGAGCTTTTCTCTCTGTAGTAGCCATCAGCACAGCTCTGGCACAGACGGCCTGAGTATCCCGGATCGCAGACACACTCTCCATCTCCCAGGCGAGTCCCCTCCCCCTCGCAGCGTCCCAGACCTCCACAAACACCACCAGGGCCGGATGGACACTCTGTATTGGATAAATATGCTATTAGTGCTACGCTGGAAGTACAAACCAAAGCTCTAAATTAGCATTGTTATTTTCACTTCTGGAAAAATTCAGTTTAACCTGTCAGGAAGCTTCTGTTTATTTCATTATTTATGTTTTTCACACCTTTGCAGTCGGGTCCAAAGCGTCCAGGTGGACAGCAGAGTCTCAGCTCCTCTATGCACAGCCACTCAAACAGGTCTGGTGCCTCCTGCTGCCTACAGGACACATACATTACATCAGTCATTGAGTTAAAACGGGCATGGTAATACATCTTAACAAAACATAATTACACACACAGCTGGGGCAAATACTGTCAATAAATGTGGGACTAAAATGTATTTAATTACAGGAGATCTTATTTTAATTACAGGACACTCATTACTTAAATACGAAATGAGGACATTCCTAATTTTTGTTTTCCCATGAAATTACACCTAATTAAGAATTAGCTGTTCCTGTCTGTGATTCACCAAAAAACACAAAACAAAACAATTAATTTAATTACATAATGCAAATATCACATTTACCTGTGGAACCACCATGTCTCCACTTGGTCCTCTATCTGCTCCAGCAGCTGGTTACATTCAAAATCTGTTTTCTCACAAGCAGCTTCTACTATCTCTAGGAGCCGCGTCTCACTGAAACAAGAGAGCCAGCAATTAGAGATATAAGTACCTTAACATAATAGATTCTGTCCAACCCACACACCCTCAAAGAATAGTGGAGCCTTGCTCTGGTCCACTGAGAGGCCTCCCCTCCCTCAGTGGACTAACATTTAAAATAGATGGTCTTATGCAATCATTCACACATTACAAAATATACGACTGTGCAGGGGAAAACAAAGGACTTCTGAAAGTGAATCACATTATTTAGGGGGGTTCCAGGAATACAAATTTAAAGAAAGATCAAAGTAGGAGCTGGTTATGTTAGAACATAAATACATTTTCTGTGATAAATATGCTGTTGTTAGACTTCTTGTCTAGACTTATGATGTACTTACTGATCGCACAATTCCTAAAGATCATGTAATGCAGGTTTGACTCCAATTAAACCATTCCCTTACCTGCGTGCATACTTAGCAAGCTTTTCTTCCTCCCAGGCAGTGTTACCTCCCCCAAAGTTCTTGTTGGCCGTTTTCTCCAAGCCCTAAAAAGGAGGAAATCTTAAGACTTAAAACTTGGCACAAGAAGACAAGCATGAACTGATGGCACTATGACTTAACTGCAGTACCTTAATGAAACTCTCTGAGAGTTTACGGCAGGTCTGGCATGGCGCAGTCTGTACTCTCACCACAGAGAGCTCGGAGAGAAGCACCAGAGCGGGGAGGAACGGCCAGGCCCACCACATGATCCTAAAGAAAACACACACACAAAACCAGTAATGAATGGTAAATAAAAAATGCTAACAGGTAGTATCATCAAATACTAGAAAGTTTTACCTATCACAATCTTCTTGAGACCCTGACATAACTTGCATCAAATGGACAAAACAGCAAGAACGTAAGGACAATACAAAGCAACCCATGCAATATAATAGCATGAAGCAAAATGTTCTATATTTACTGGAACAGAGTGATGATAATTTCACTCTATGGTACTTTTTCAGCTGTAGTTTATGTAGTTGAACTGCATTGTATTGTTTTATTGTCTTGTTATATAGTTCTACCTCTGTGGCATCAAATTAATATTCTTCATAAGATATTTTAATAATTTAAATTAAGTACCCAACACACAATGCAATCATCAAGTAACTCTGTGACAGTCTCTACAGGTTTATTTACATTTAGTCTTGTTAAAAAAGCTTTAAAAAACACACACACACACACACACACACACATTTAGCCTGGTTGGGATGCTCTTCTTTCACAGTTAGCTTAGTTAGCTTAGCTAGCTCAGCATCAGCACCACACAAAATTAGCCAAAAGCTGGTAAGGTCAGTAGTAGTTAGCTGCTAGCCTAAGCTAACGTGGTGTATCACAGTCTGCTCATCCGTCCGGTGGACCTTTAAAGTCTAGTGAGCTCAGCCATAGCGTCCACCTGGCGACACTAAACGTTTATTATCATTTACTTTTAACTGTGTATTGCACTTATTCTGAAATTAGCAAGCCGAACTGTTCATATTAGCCAGTCTGGTCTTACCTTATTGCAAAGCCACCTCGTCCGCTGCTGCACCACCGATGGTTGTCTGATTCCCCTGCTGGTTCACACAATGCAGGCAGAGTTTCACATGTTGAGCAGCCACTTCTAATACCTCAAGCGTGCCATTTTATTTTTCTTTAGTTACAGTCGGCGAGCCACAGCTACTGACCGGCCAGCTGAATGAATGACTAGCTAGCTAACGCTGGTGGTGCTCACACGGAAGGCAAACGTAGTGCTATGCTGCTGCCGCTGGGATGAATCAATGAACAGCTTCCAGTTGGTTCTCTGTTGTCCATGCAGCTGAGCCCCACACAGGATGGCACCGCCCAAACCCGCTGGGATTTAATTCATCAACCAATCAGTCAACGTCCAATTTTTTTTTACACAGACGGTCCCGCGTACGTCAGTGATGTCATACTGGGAATACAGACGCATCGTGTTTATCAACCCTCTTAATAACAGATAGTGTCGCAGCTGCGTCCGTACGAGCCATTTATGGGCATGTTGAACATTTAGAGGCAGTTCAAGATACCTGAAAATTATTTTAAATTAATTAAAAATCATAATTGTTCAAATTAAAAAACTATGAACTGACTCACAGATTTTAAAGGTTCTGGCAGCCTTTTATTGAATGAAACCTGTAACCTTTGAACTGACTGCAATGTAGGCCAATACTAACACCCAGGTACAATGGTTGAGTTATTTCATGTCATATCTTAACAATTGATTTTTTAGAAGTATTTATTAATTTTTTTATGCATTTACCTTTCGTACTATTATTATTTATTTCTACTATTAGTTATTTTATAGACACCTTTAAAATGCATGTTAAACAATTAGAAATAGTTCAAGATGTTATAAAATAATTATCAAAAAATCATACATTATTCCAATTAAATTCTACCTGTCAAAAACTGAACTGACTGCACCTTAAAATGGGGTTTGTAAGAGACAATGTCCCACACAGATAGTTGATAGTTGAAAATGTGGTGCTGAAATAGCAGGACCTAGCCTGTAAAGAATGATCCCACAACAAGCATGGACATGTTTTTACCTGCTGTTGCTGCTGCATAGTGCATCAATTTATGGTCCATTAAATACAAAGCTACAGCCAGGTGTTGGTTAGCTTGGCATAAGGGGAAACACAGATTTTAAAGGATCTGGCAGCCTATTATTGAATGCACTGAAACCTGTAATCTTTGAACTGACTGCAATGTAGGCCAATACTAAAACCCAGGTACAATGGTGGAGTTATCTCATGTCATATCATAACAATTGATTTTTTAGAAGTATTTATTCATTTTTTTATGTATTTACCTTTAGTACTATTATTATTTATTTCTGTTATTACTGATATTTTCTTTCACCCCCTTTATTTTCTGTTGGCTGTGTATTGTACATACTGGGAATACAGACACATCATGTTGAACAACCAACTTAACAACAGATAGTGTCGCGGCTCCGTCCATAAGAGCATTTTAGATACTTTTAAAATGCATGTTAAACATTTAGAGACAGTTCAAGATATCTTAAAATAATTATTAAAATTCTAAATTGTTCAAATTAAATTCTACCTCAAATTAAAAACTATTAACTGACTGTGCAGAAATAGCCTTAAAATGTAGTTAAGACACAGTGTCCCACACAGATAATTTAAAAATGGGGTGCTGAAATAGCAGGATGTAGCATTTTTTGCTTTTTGTTTTTACCTGCTGTCGCTGCTGCATAGTGTCACAATGTATGGATCGGATGGATGAATTCCAGGAATTAATTTCGGCATGTTAAACAAATGTAAAGATGCTGCTCTGCAAACATACATCTTCTGCCATGTTTGTAATTAGTAAGAACTGACACAGTTTTGTAGTCAGGAGAGCATCTGATGTGATTCAGACAAACTCTTTATTCAACCACACTAAACATTAAGAGAAAATACAGTATACAAAAGGACTCACCATGCGTGGACAAAGCAACTCAATATACTTCTGTATAAAAGAGAATATTAGTCTCTCAGGGATGTTATATACATGTACATGCAGGATGTCAAATACTAGTAAATATGTCAAACACACATAATGGCGTGGTTTAAGACTGAAAAACGGCTTGAATAAACTATGTAGTGTCAAAACAATGCCGCAATTTGCTTCATTGAGATTCTTGTCTTGCATTTAGGTAGCACTGACCACTTTGTGACCAAACTGTGTATTTACTGAGGTCTTTTTTCTTAAATTTACTTTTAGAAGTATTGAGGTTTTAATGTTGTGCGATTATTTATCTGAAGCAGCAAGAGCTCAAGCTATAATAACTCAGCTTTTATTTGAAAAGGTTTCCCCTGCCAGAAACATAAAACACTTTTCAACAGCCACTAGACCCCGGATGTTCAGACCAGTTTTAGTCTGCCGAACCTTGGTCATGTGTCATCCTCTCCTGCTGTCAGACCCATCCTACTTCACTGACCTTGGGGCTTGTGTCAGGGCTGGAGGGAGGTGTAACAAGACATGGCTTCAAGGGCACAGTTTCCCCAGAGTCTTCAACTTCAACCCCAACACAACTCTGGGACACTCCTGTAAGGCGTAATACAGTAGTCCCTGCTGTGAACCCTGACAGCCCTCGAGCCAGAGTCCGGGATGCAATCCTTAGCCCCCCTGCTCTTTTCCGTCTGGCTGATGCTGTAGCCATTTGCCGAGCCCCAGCTAATTCAGTCAGAAAACCCAGGCTCTGGGAGGGGAGGCTGTACACATGAAGGCCACGGAAAAGCTCTGGCAGCGGCCAGAAACCACCCGGAGGCTCAGGTGGAAGTGATTCAAACTGCACCAACATAAACCGCTCACCAGCACGGCCCTGTAAATAGTCAGCTAGAATGCAGCTCAATGAAGCAGTAAAAACATCCCCACAGGGAGAAGAGGCAGTATTGCTTCTTCCGGCCCCCTCTTCCTCCACGTCCCTGTTCCTTTCCGTGGGAGTGTTTCTCTCCCAGCTCCGAGCTCCCCATTCTTCAGCCCTAATCCAGGCAGCCTGGGTCAGGACTAGCACCACTTTGCCCCCCTGCCTTTGCAATCGGTTAAGCCTTGAGTGGAGCCAAGGCACAGGTCCCAGCACACTGAGCTCAGCCTGGCTCCACAGGTCAAGAGACACGCTAAATCCCAGGGCTTGGAGGGATGAGCCCAGGTGACTCATCAGCTCTGGCAAAGCCTGGTCGTCATCAGGTGGGTACAGCAACACCACATGACCACCACCCACAGCACCTGAAATTTTGAGAAATATATCACACTCATATCTGTCCGTTAAAGACAAAGCTACAGCCTGGTGATGGTTAGCTTTACATAAAAACTATAAACAAGAGGAAACAGGATCTGGCAGCCTTTTATTGAATGCATTAAAACCTGTAACCTTGGAACTGGGTCCAATGTAAGCCAATACTAACACCCACACACAATGGTTGAGGTATGTCAGGGACAGGTAGGGGAGAGTGGGGTAAGATGAGCTATTTTTCATATTTAGGATCACTACATCAAGGCAATCATAGTTTTGTCGCTAACTAATATATCTGCATATATTTCAGAATGTTGTGCATCCCTTCAAACAAACAGAATGAGTGTAAACATAACTGTTTCGATAATATAGCTTGTCCAAAAAAAGTAGTATCAGTAGGCTCAACTTACCCCATGTATGGGGTAAGTTAGGAGGAGCGGGGTAAGTTGAGCCGTATCCCTACTCACCCCCTACCCTCCTCCCCACCTCCTCCCCACAACTCCCTCACCTTCTCCCTCCCTAAATAACACTCACTTCTTCACATTTATGTGTATTTTATTTATTTGTAACAGGTACAATAACTTTTTTTTAATTATTATTGCATATTACTGCTAAACAGCTGTTTTGTGAAAAAACATTTGAACATGAGAATGCCTTAAAGTGCGCTTGGGAAGAAAACATTAACAGCTGTGTTTTTGGAATATACACAGAATATGTTTTTGGATACACTTATTAAGTGTATTTTGGCTGTAGCCACCGGCTCAACTTACCCCAGAGCTACCATTTTGACTTTATTAGTCCCCAGAGCTAAAATGGTTCACTTTTATGCTAGGTTTATGACCTCATGTTGTAGCTCATAGATACCACAATTGATGTATAAAACAAATTTAAAATTATCTATTTTTGTCTAAACACAATTCTCATGAAACTTATGATAGACTAAATTCACTTTCAAGAGTGAAAAATGTTTTTTTTGGAAATAAATATCTAACCACTTTACCCACGTGGTTCTTGCATTCACAGACTCCATGAAATGATGCCTTCCTCCTAAATATTTGGTCACATGATCAATGTTTTTTACCATTTCCTAGCAACAAGGGGTGGCTCAACTTACCCTTTGGCTCAACTTACCCCACTCTCCCCTATATCATATCAAATGTGATAAAAAAAAAAAATGATTTATTCATTTTATTTTTATTCTTTAATGTATTTACCTTTATTTATATATTTTTATATGTTATTATTTATTGCTATTACTACTACTTTTTTCTTCCCTTGTTTTCTGCTAGCTGTGTATTGTATTATTTAGTTTTTAATTGAAATAAGTTGTACTGTTCTTGCATATTTAAAAACACAAAACAAGGAGAGACAGTTCTCCTGGCTCTGGTCAACATTTCCTGTGTAAAAACAACATTTTGCCATTTTAAGGGGGGTTTTGTGGCAGACTATTTCTCGGCTGGAGGCAGTAACTTCAGTCTCCTGGTCGCCTGGTAACCGTTGTCGTACAGAGCTAGGCTAGCTGGCTGACTGTCTCCGGCTTTGGTGCTAAGCTAGGCTAACTGCTGTTGGCTGTGAGCTTATATGTAACAGATAGATGTGAGGTTTTTTTTTTTTTAACCTTTTCCAGAAGTGTATTTCCCAAAATGTCTAACTATTCTTTTATGTACATGAGTAACACTTGCTAAATATACCAGATATAAAAGAGCATTTAGGAGGAAAGGGTAACACATGCCACTGAAAATGTAAACACAAGAGCATGAATATTCGTATAATATTCTACAAAAGTATGAATAAAAGTATGAAAATGTTAATGTTGAGAGTATAAAGGGGATGTAGAAGACAATGGTTGCCCAGTATGAAATAGGCTTTCTCATACCTTTAACATCATCTTCTTTCAACCATCTCCACACATAGCCTAAAAGGAAAACAGAAGTACACATTGAGGTATTTTGCAAAGGTGCTAATAATATTCAATGGACTACAAATAGAAAACTGACCTTTTAGGACCCCTTGTATAAAATAGGCTCCTACTATGGCCAAAAACATAAGCAGTAATCCGATGATGAGTGGCAGGCTCCATCTCCAACGAGAGGCTGGAAAATAATAAATACAACAGTCTTTAAAATAATGCACATTAAAGAAGTTCCACAGACACTGTTATAATATTATACAACAACATATTTACAGTTAATTAATAATCTGCCACATTCTAATGGAGCATGTTTTTGCTGATAAGAGTTAAATCATTAAACACACTTAATCTCAATCTGGATAATAATTAATAGTCTTACTTGCAAATGGACAGTGAGGCTCTAAGTATGACTCCATCCCATGTATCTTTATCTGAAAAAAATAGTGAAAAGGTTAAGGTTAGCACAGTACGTATTGTAGGAAGCAGTGAAACAATAACAAACGAACGATAATGTGTATAAGAATATATTTAATATATTAGGACAGAGATCACCTGAACACAAAGCAGAGGATGTGATGACACAATGAACTCTCCTGTTTTCTGAAAAGTAAATTCAGAAAAATAAATAAGATTCAACATTAAACATAATGTGCTGGAAGAGTATGACCTGCTTAGGATAAACGATTTATTATACATCATTCAGTGCCTTATTGTTTTTGTCAAGTTTACAGTATGTCATAATCACATTGTCGTCACAATATTTTGTTAGCACATTAAAAGTATTCTTTAGGTAGAAAAATGGATAAGTCAATCACATTTAAATACAGCTTAAACTAATCAATGAAGGGGCCAAGTTTAACTGATTTATAACTAACAAAACAACTGAACAAAACTCGCCGTGCACAGCTAGTAACAGTCAGGTCTATCTTAGTTAAAGTTAATAAAAATTAACTTTATTAGGAGGAACAATGTGTTTTGCCTGCAGTTTCTTGTGCACACTGTTTAAACATGCTTGATACTATAGTACATTCAATCACCCTCGTTTAGGAAAGAAATATCACATAAAATAATTAATTATTGTCTCTTCGCTCATGTGCAACCCAATCCAAGATGGGGGCAAACTGATTAACCAGCTTTTCAGAAGGCAGGCATTTTGGATTTATGAACTGACCACAATTTAACCCTAATGGACTTAACACAGGATTTTTGCTCTTTTCTGTTACATGAAAATGTTAACTTGTATATCTCTCTCTAATTTGGAGCCGTGAGATGAGATAATAAAGTCACGGTAAAGTCATTCTAGTGTGTGTAGGTTAATTTTGATGTAGTGCTGAAATGTAGTGCAGTGCATGTGTAAAGTAAAATTGAAATGCTAGCAGTACAGCACCTGCTCAGTTCTGATTTATTTCTCTGTTCACATTGTTTTTTTAATGTGGCCCATATGAGATTTAAGTGTCAGCAGGTCAAAGTCTTGAAGTAACTGAATGACAAATGTAAATCTAGAGTAACATAAAAGTCACATAAATTTTTAAGGTGAGTTGATATGGTGATACGGTTCACACTGAGGTCAAATCAGACCCGTATCTGATGTGGACCACATTTGAAAGTGTCCCAAATCAGAATTGAAAAGATGTCATGAAAAATTATATCTGTGTCACATATGAGCAGATTTGGACATAGTCTTAGTTTCAGCCTATTTTCCAACACTGAGGGTGAGACAGCTTGCAAAGAAAACAACGTTTTTCTTGATGTTTTTACCCAATGTCCACTGCGTGTTGCACTCCAGCCAGCATGTGCATCGTTGTGCAGTCTCTGTCTGGAACCCGTCACCTCCTCGCACTGGCCCCCTGTCAGGTCTTTCTTGCACAGCCACACGTCTGCCTCCAGTCTGCAGGGGGCGGTCACATTCCAGCTCAGCACTGTGCCACCATCTCTCATCTGTGTCTCTGCCAAAGACACAGACACGTTGTGCTGCATTCTTTCCAGTGCATCTGAAAAAAACAAAAACAAAAAAAAACATTGCCATGCTATCATATCATTTACCATGCAAATGTATCTTGCTCTCAGGTTGATCTAGGTTTACTCCCTTTTACCTGTCTGGTTTTTAAAAGGGCAGGATTCCTTTCGGAGTTCCATTCCCTTCCACCACACCTGAAAACAAAAGGTTTTAAATGTTTTTATTTCTTCTAAACACATGTTGGTAGCTGTCTTTTCTTATCAGTTACAATAACAACAATAACATGCCAGCTACCTTGAAGCACAGGCAGGGTGCAACAAAGTTTGACGAAATGACCATTTCTTTCTTGCCTTTGGGCTGCAACGGCAAATAAAAAAAAGTTAGAAAGATATATACGATATTGATTATTTTTTACTAGGGAGCAGATTACTAGTTGATCATTGACTGACCCATGCAAGAACCTCTCCAGGCCTTTCATTCCAAACCATCTGGCACATGATTTCATTGCGTCTGGTATCAGTGTTTTCCAGTTGGAGGAGGACTACATTTCTCTCGTGATCAGGAACAGTTCGAAGTCTTGGGGCTGAGACAGAAACTAGTTAGTTACTGAGTGTCACTCTACAAGTAGGTATGTTTTAGCTGACACGGCCAACGGCATGTACACAATACACGCTAGTCTAGACAATCAGGTGGAAGCAGAGCACCCATGACTTACCATCACATTCCTTCACAGCCGACTCTAGGTCCGTGGAGCAAACTGAAAGAAAGGGGGAGGAGATTGTAGTCTGCAGTTCAGCGTATCTCTGCTTACATTACACAGCACTTAACCTCACCTTCTTCTAGAGATGGGACTGTGATATTCTTGTGCACTCCATTTGAATGTGCATCAACACGAACCACAACAGGATTACCGAACGTCACTTTCTCTGTCAACACCAGCTGCGTTTAAAGGAAACATATACACACATACATTAACATACTTTAAACATTAAGTTCTTAAATCACTCAGTAACAACACATGAGTAGTCTTTGAGCAGTTCAGTAAATAGGAGCGCAGGGCAGTGAGAGACTAGCAAGGGTGCAAGAAGTACTTGAATAGAAGTACCAGTACAAATACTCAATTACAAAAATGTCTTGCATTCAAAATCCAGCTTAAGTAAAAGTACAGAAGTATGAGTTATCATACTGTTAGATTGTTAATGCTAATGCAACTATGAGTAAGCAGTATATTAATGCTGTAGCTGGTTGAAGTGGAGATAGTTTATCTATTTCAGTAGTGGGATAGTTTTGTGCAGTGGTTCCCAAACTCAGGGTCAGGCCCCTCTTAAAAGGTCCAGTGTGTAACATTTAGGAGGATCTATTGGCCGAGATGGAATATAGTATTGATCGATATGTGTTCATTACTCAGTATAAAATCACCTGGAAATAAGACTTTTTCTACTTTCATTACTTATAATCTACAGAGCGAGCAGGTCCTCTTGTACAGAGGCTGCCATGTTGAACCCCCATTTTTCTGCAGAACCACCGAATGGACAAACCAAAAACTGGCTCAAGGGCCTCCCATGTTTTTAGAGTTTGAAAATTAAATGTTATTAGATTAGAGTCTAGTTTCTTTAGTGGAACTAATACAAACAGAAGCTCTTTGTAAATGGGTCACAAGCTGAACTGTTGGGAACCACAGGTTAAATCTTAACAGTGTGCTGTTTTTTATAAGCTTTTGTAAAATCTCAATCTGTACAGGTATCTGTCAACTAAATGTAGTGGAGTACAATATTTCCCTCCAAAATATAGTGAAGCAGATGTATTAAGTAACATAAAATGGAAACACTCAAGTAAAGTGCCTCAAGTATTGTACAAGTACAGTTCTTCAGTAAATCTACATTCCACCACTGGAGGATAGTTAATTAATTAATCAAGGACAGACACAACAACTACATGAGGTAATTATTTTACACCTGCCAAACCTTATGTGTGGGCTGTTGAGAAGCTTGGTCTAAACCGGAGGAGCTAGGTTTGAACCGGAGTGCCTTGCAAATTTCAAAGTTGCCTGGGGAGCTGAGACATACTTTCACCACAGCTGTAACACAGAGAGTACAGGAGAAGAAGAGTAAACTTTAAAAAAAAAAAACAATCTATACAATACGATGCGTGTGACTTGTGTGTGTTTTGGGTTCTGTACCTCTTGGCTTAGTTATCACAAACTGACCACTTCCTTCTGTGCTTTGATTTATGCCATTCTCTTCATCTGTATCCTCACCTGACTCCTCGGAAGTCTGCTTTGCATTTTCGACTTCTGCAGGAACATGTGCAATATAATAGTCATTAAGTATGCCAGTAAGTATGTAGAATGTTTTGCAACCATGACGCCTGCCTGATTGACAAGTCCAAAATTATGATAAGAATGGGGGAAATGACAACAATACCTCTGTAAACAAAGCCATTCACTGTGATAAGGAAAATCATGATGTATGGATAAACTAATCCACCTAGCTGACGATATCAAACAATGTTTCTTACTAACCTTGGACTGTGATGATGATTTGCAGGCAAGGTATACAGTCTCGAGTGGCAGAACAGCACAGAATCGCTTTAAGATGCAAAAGTACAACATTGACTGTATCATCTGGATCAACGGGGTAGAGAGAGGCTGGGGAAAGAAGAGAGTGTTTGTGCTTTAGACAAACTGCAGGCTTACTCTAGTGTGAGGTTATTACCATGACACAAGATGCAGTTGTGTTGATCGGTTTGCTACCTGAGCTCATGTGGCAGTCAGTCAAACCCTGGAGAGAGAAAAGTTGTAGATAAGAATTCACCCAAAATGAAACACGCCTTAAGTACCATGAGTAAGCAGCACCACTTAAAGTGAAAATGCTCATTATCCAAGTTAATGATTAATTATTAAAAAGAAACATTTTATTTATGTTCAAAGGAGTGAATTTATGAAAGAGATGCAGTGAGGAGCTTCACACATGTAGAAGATGTTGAAATATTATTAAATGGAAAAATGTTTTTTTTTACATTAGTATGGTAGCGACGTGGTTACTTTTGATACAGGTCTAATAGTTGGTGTATCGTAAGATGGGTATGTGTAATAAGCGTTTTTTGTAATTATTTTCAGATTGCAATACATTTTTATTTCAGTTTTATACATATACAACATAAATGGAAACTTTAGACAGGTGACATATTAAAGGGAAAAGATGATTTAGTATTTCAGTAGGAACAGTGACTAAAGTGACATCCGCATTTAGAGCTACTGTACGGGAAGCAACATCAGTTATGGTAATATTTTGTCTATCCCCCATGTTACTGAATCACTATATTAACAAGACTTCTCAGAATAAAAATTATTACACAGGACCACAAACTACATCCTCTAAGCTGAGCTGAGTCAACACATCTTTGAAACAATGCCAATAAAAACTCAGTGTTATAGTCCTTTGTAATGTTTAACCTTGTCTGTTGTTGTGGAGCTTTGATTGTTATGAGTGCCAGGCTGCAACATGTTTTATCTTTTTACTGTTTGCTGTACTTCCCTGAAACAAAATTCAGAGGAAAATACAAGCTACAACAACCCTTCTTGAAAATGGAGCAGTGGAGTAAGGTGTCAAGCTCAGGCACAATAGTAAATAAATGATGGGCATTAAACTCTGATCTCTCTTTCTCTCCCCGTGTCTTGTATCTCCCAATTCCACCAAAAAACCTGAAACCTGCACACTAAAATGTGTTATTCTCCATGTATCAATTGTTCATAGTTATCAGTAAACGAATGTGGCACACACTAAATGAAACAGAGTCCAAATAAAATACACAAAACAGAAATATTATAGCCATCTAGGTAGTAATCACTGTGTTACAGCCTGGATCCTTAGTACCATTTCCTAAGTTATTAAGTAACTAAAGGATCATCAGCTGACTTATTACCTCGCTACAGTTGAGTTCAGGTGCGTCTTTGTCCACCATCTCCAGCGCTCCTGCAGACATGAACAGCCAGAAGCGCAGCACTGACAGCGGCAGGGAAACACGTGGCGGCACCCGAAAGAGCTTAAGAGCCATTTCTTGGAGAGCACCGGTGCGCCTGGCACAGGTGGTCTCTCTCCGGTGCGCGTCTCTAGAGTCTCCAGAGACTAGAGCCCCCTCATCCGAAACACAAGGGGCGAAAGCCCGTTACCCTTAAATCCGCCCAGTAGCACAGGAACGACCGTAATATGTCCTCGGAGACACCAGTGACCATGGCTTGTCCCTCCACCACAACCAGCCAACTGTTGGGACGCTCCAACCTTTTGTTTCATACGTCTTTCCCGGTGATCGACAGGAGAGGTTGGGCGTGTCGCAGCACTACACCCGCCGCTGTGATGGGATTGGGGGACAGTTCGCGTGCACTTTCGATTTGCTTGGTGAATCATTCAACGGCATTGACATAACAAAATAAACGTGAACCCATTTCAAACCACTAACCTCGAAGATATGCCAGCTTGGCAGCATTCATGGCGATCCATTGTGTTGTCAGGTGAATTGTTTTTCAAGTTAAGCCCATCAGATAAAATCAAATATTTTTAAGGTTACAGATCACAGACAATGAACAGTGTAAATGGCATTGTCATTTCACTGGAACATCAGTGTGCCAACTTTTTCATGGCTTTCTGTTCAAGTTTTGAACTCTCACAATGATATAGGTTCAGTAAACTGTTGCAGGAATCGGACCAGTGAGCATTTGGTTACAGCCTTGTACCAATAACTTTCAAGCCTCTTTGAACTGTTATTAAAATAGAGCCCGTTGGTTTCAGTTGGTGTAATAATGTTTAATCATTAACCTCTATCGAAGTCAGTGGGTCAGTTAAGTTCATTGTGGTAGAACATTTCTATTCTTGCTTATCTTTGTAAAGCATTGTGTTACCTGTGTGCAGTCTGGAAAATGTTAAATCATTGTGGCTCTTAAAAGTATTTGGCTGTTTGCTTGAGTCATCATTAATTTGCCCATCGGAAATATTGTTAAAGTCTGTAGTTCAGCTCTTTATTTTATGGCATAAAGTTATTTCTGTGTGACTAAACTGACCTACAGACAGGGATCTTTGAAGGAGATGAACTCATTATATAGGCCTACATTTAAATTCAATTCATACTGTAGTGGCAGCATTAAATAGGCATTTCTTTTCTATCTTATGACAATTGTATTGACTTACCCCAGTTCTTTAACTTTGTATGATTTACACCTTGAATTTACGTCTAAGCCTGATAAAAGCTATTAAAGTCAGTGTCGACGTCAGAATAAGTTGCTGTCCTGACCAGGGGCAAACCTTTACATGCTGAACTGTGATAGTTGAAAGATTGTTTTGGCAGTAACATTGGGTTCCAGTTTTTTTTTACTGTGAGTGATCATTTACTTCCTTATTAATTGTGTTGAGTAAGTCTGTCACTCCAACCATAGCAATGCAGTGGTTGTGTTTGTTCTATGTACTCATTGTAATAAACTGGTTTAGGAATACCATTAAGCTTATACATTAGACACTGAATGCTGAAAAAACACATTTCAGTAAAATAAAAGCAGTTTACTTTGAATACATGAACCTTTTTTTTAACATAAAATTTATATTTATAATTTTTTATACAAAACTGTATAATGCCAATAGTGTTAGGCTAATATCTCAACATTGTTCGTTGAAGCAAGATAAACTAATCGTGGAGACAGTTGAGTTGAGTGACATTGAACAAATATTTCAACTAGGAGCAATTAAATGTTTGCTTGTAAAAAGGTCCACTATGCCTAAGGGTAAAAGAACACAGAGTAACTTATACTTTGTTTTTACGAGGCAGTAAATATGCAAATACAATATTTACTACGAGGGTGGCAGTCTATATGTGATATAATATGTACAATGCTTGAACATATGATCACGCAAATCAACTACCAAATACAACCACATTTTAGTCATTTAATATGTAATTTCCTCTTTTCGCCTGGAAATCCTGTGGCAGCTTTGGCACAACATCTCTGTTTAGAAAATCCTATGCAAATTTGCAACTACCTGTAAACAACAGTCAAACAGTTGGTCACCTGTGCACACAACACTTTCAAACATTAAATGCACTCATGAAGAAAGTGAGGAATAATTTGCAACCGTATTTTCATAATGGTTATCGTTATATACAGAGATAAGGCAGGTGTTCACTATGGCCTCAGTCATGAAAGCAACATAAAGAGCCTCTGTTACAGGCTCAATGCAGACTGGACGGAGTATTGTCTTCTTCATATGCAAAACAAATATTGGTATTTTTGACATGATGGCACCAAGTAATGAATATTTCCTATGAGGTATAACACCAGCTCCTGTGTCTCATATAGGTATTGGGTTTCAAGCAGAACAAAAGTCTGTCTGTCCCCAACAGACATGTGAAACCTGACACTGAAACTCCTCTGCTCTCCATGGTGACCCCTGGAGAGGCTCGTGCTCTTGTACAGTTCCTGGTCTTGCCGAATTGGCTGCCAGTGGAAACTTGAGTCTGCTCTGTGTCTTATCTGACATCATTTTCAGTGACGATGTGACACACTGCCCTTGCGTTGTCATTCCTTGTGTCTGAGGCAGCAGTGTTTGTAGTCTTTGGGCTAGCTGCTGAGCAAGCCATATGGACATCACTTTAGACAGGAGTCTGGGCCAGCAGTGCCAGCTGAATTTGCCAGTTTGTGTATGTCTTGTCATCCCTCCCAGCTCCTGTATTAAACCCCTGAAATCCTGTGGTAAGCAATACCGAGGGACACCTCTCAAGGCCTTTGGGATGTCCCTGCTGTGGCAAAGGCCCTGGAAGTACACAAGGGCTACTCCTTGATCTTTACTCTCCTGTAGCGCCCCAGTTAGGCAGGTCAGAGCAGCTGTGAACACTGGTGCTATCACTGCAGAGGGCTCCCTCTGGAGGTACCAGTCTTTATCGTCACATAATTTCACACAATCTTTTTTTCCTGCAGCTTTTTCTTTGTTGGATCTTCCCAGTTTTCTTCCATTTGGTTTAGAATCCTCTTCCACAACACTTATTTTGTCATATTTCACATTGGCTTTGCTGAAATGTTCCTCCTTTCTCTCATTCTTATCCATGTGTTCCCTCTCCTCCCTCCATTTCTCATAGGTCTTCCTGGCTTCAGGACTCCAAATAATCAGTACTTTTCCTTGTGCCTTGCGTACAGCTTCCCATCGCCCATACAGCCAGGGAATTGGACCCAGATCTGCCACTCCAGTCCCGGTCCCGGCCTGGGATTGCCAGCTTAGGGCGCACAAAGCCATGTGCACTGTGGCACTTAACTCCCCCTGCAGGATTGAGGCTAAAGCACACACAGCAGAGACATGGGGGGACTGTTCTGATGAGCATACCAGCAACACTGGCTTCTGGATATAGAGCCAACCTAGATATATGGGAAAACACAGGGGAGGAAAAGGAGACATTATTTGTTATTTGTCAGCTCAATAACAACTGTTACTTTAAGATTGTAAATTTAGCCCAGTTACCATCAAGCTAACACCAAAAAACAAACCAACTAAGGTACTACAAGAGTGGAATTAAAATGATTTGAAGACATCCCACCCAGAAACACAAACAATGATTATTCAAATCAACTAAACCTTGAATTGTATTTATGAAGCAACTGAACAAACCTGCCGCTCCACTCTTAGTAAGACGGTGGATGAAAATTCCAAGTAACGTAGCAATAACCACAAAGATCAAAGCTGCCACAGCATATATGCCACATCGGTTGTGCGTGTCTGTTGAAACACAAATAGACAGTGTGTCTGTTTACTTTGTAGGAGTTTTATGTGCACGCGTGTGTTCATACATAAACTGAACAAAAGTGCATGTGTTGGTACACTTGGGCTCGTGTGTTTATCTTGACTACACTCACAGTCTGGGCACAAAATTCTTCTACCACGAAGAGAAGGATCTGACTGCCACACCTGCAGAAAAGCAGTTTAAAAGTATGAAAGGCGAGAAGGGATAAGTGAAACACCTTTCTAAGTCATGGTGTGTACTGTACCTGCACACAGGGCTTCTCTGCAAGAAAGAGAAGAGGCACATTTATCCTCGCCTCAGTAGTATTCCCATCCTGTAAAATTAACGAAAGTCACATAGTCACTCACATTAACATTACATTTATCAATTTGTTTTCTCACAAACACATATGTATGCTTACCATTGTCACTGAATGGACCTGCTCCATGGGTGTACATCCTGTTTCATGAAGGACACAGAGTTGAGCTGAGAACTTTGCTGGAGCAGAAGAGGTGAGATACAAAAGCACGCTCTGTCTGCCTGGTCCAATATGCACCTCCCATGAAGACATATCTGTAAAGGACAAGGGGAAGGGGAAGTCAAGATAGTGAAACAGAGATAAATTGACATTCATCACAGCTATAAGAAAAATGAACCCTTTTGCCCCTGTTTGACTCACCAGCCTGGAAGGGGCAAGAAATGTTATGACTGCCTTGTAGAGAAAACTGCAAAAAATGGAACACAAATGTGAGTCTGCAACTAAAAAGATAGGCAACTGACCATATTTTAATGCAAGCACAGTTTGATAATTCTCACCTGCACACACATCTGAGGGTGTTTGTCCACTGCATATGCGTTATATATCTGTTGAGGAGACACAGTGGGTGTTAGAGAAAGCTTTATGCATTTTAAATCAGGAATCCATCACCAATACCACCAACAGTCCTGCTGAACTTACCACTTCTGGTCCACCTTCCTTCTCCAGTGTGGAGTTGAGTACAGGTATGCAGAGGTGTTCGTGTTGCTTCCAGCAGAGGGAGGCAGCGATCATGTGGTTGCTGGCAGGGCACTTTGATATCCACTTGAAACTTGACTCATGCAGTATGATTTTAGAGGAGAGCCAAATGTCTCTGAAATCTGTAGAGGCAATGTGGACGCAAATGTTTACAACACTATGGCAACCACATGCTTGACTGTGGTTTATCCAGGGATGCAGTTGTTGTAGACCAACTAGATTTAAATCTAATCATAAATAATAGTACACTGTATCATAATAATCTGTATTAAACTGATACATTAAATTACATGAATATACTTTTAAAAAGGGTCAGTGTCAGTCCCCCGCCATCCTAGTGCACTTGAGGTGAATGGAATTACAGTAATACACAATTTGGAATAAATTTAATATTAAAAAAAATAGATGCCATGCAATGCCTTGTCATTTTAAAACTTTTTATTCAGATTAAACAAGATATGAAGTGTTAATTAGTGAGCTTTAGAGGTACTGGTAGGCAGATTTTGTTACTAGAAGCATACTAGCTGTTTCTGTTTCAGTCCAAGCTTTGTAACTTAATTGACTTGAGTTTAACGTGGCCTTACATATTATTACCATACAGATATGAAATTGATTTCAATCTTCCTATCTAACTCTTAGCAACAAAGTGAATAAACATATTTTTATATCAATCTATTCCTTTATATTTCTGCAGTTTACAACAATTAAAAAGAAAATACATTTCAAAACCTCAATATCAACTTGTCATATGAGAAACAGTGCACTCTTTGGTATTTCGTTGGTAGCTGTTCCCTCTTCAAGGAAAGGGAAGTAGTTCAGAGAAAACAGTACACAATGTATAGACCCTCCAGGAATTCCACAGGATTGTTTTGGGATTGCTGTGGTCTAAAATGCCTGACTTCATGATACCTTTTTTTTTTTTATAAAATGCAATGCGTGTTGCAATGTTTTTAGGCATTTTTTTTTGCAAGAAAGTTACAGGAGGAAGTGAAAATTGCAAAAATAGAAATGTATAATTCATTAGAAACCAGAGGCAGCTTGTTCCAGGACAGGGTAAATGTGAGATGTGAGAGTTCACAAGGATTTGTTGAATTTGCATTAATTGTTGCGATCGCAATATTACAATTTCCTGGGGGGACTAAATGTCTGTGGATTGTCTCAAATAACCGTGGGCATTGTTTCTGAAAATCATTATTTTAAATTATCATTGAGTTTTTTCAAATACCATTTTCAGAGTTGTAAACACCACAAAGTTCCCTTCACCTGCAAAACTTTTTTTTGCTTAAGGTCTTTTTAATGGTATTTAAGAGTTCACGGACACAGTTAGATGAGCACGGTTTAACCCCAACCCATCATCCTGCTCAAACAGAGCACATCTTAAAACTTTGATACACATTAAACCAAAACCATTTACATGTCTTTTTGTAAAAGAGTGAATAATTCAGTGAACTGACCCTTTCAACTTTTTTACTGATTGAAAAGTGAAAATGTACAGAAAGTATAAAAGTACTCTTGGTTTCTCTGAAGGATATCTCTACCAGCTGTTTCTGTGCAAAGCTAACTAAAACTTGAAATAGAGTCTCGCCTGTCTGCCATGTGTGAAATGCACCGGCAATGATGCAATAATAGTCTATAATTCTTATAAAAATAAAACAACAAATAACAAGCTTGTTTTGAAACTGTAAGAAGCAGAAAGTACAGATATTTATGTAAAAATTGTTGTGTCAGAAGTTGTTCGAAAAATAAACTCAAACTCACGTAAAGTACAGATGATTGAAAAAACTAATTTAGTACAATAACAAAGTATTTGCACTTTGTTATCTCCCACCTCTGGACACCACCCAACAGATGAAGGGGAACACCCCTGTTTTGTATTTATGAATCATGAGTACCTAAGTTGTTCATTACAAAATAATGGTAAAATAATAAAAAGTCTATACAAGATGTTTTTCATCTCAACCTGACACTGACATGAATCCTCTGTCACACTCACCTGTGAGGCTTTGATTTTGAAATGGACACTTTATATGTCGACGGGCATCTCTATGGGTGTAATATACCTATCAACACAGACAAGACATGAAAGGCTATTAAATATAGACTAATTTAACTCAACTTAACAAGATAATAATATTTCCTGTGTCCAAAAATGGTGCGGAGATGACAGTACCTGCACACAGACACAGGGCAGCAGGTAAGGGATGTTAAGAACAGCTGATTGAGACTGAGCCGGATCAATCTGAACAGAACAGAAATATATTAGAGAAAAAAACCCCATCTTTCTGACTTTTTCAGTGTGTACAAACAAGTGTATGTGGGCAGTTAAGTGTTCCACTGAGACTTACAGTAATCTGGGGGGAAAGTGGCCCGACTATGCAGCCCATATTACTTTTTTGGTAACACCACATGGTGTAGACTTTATCTCCGGGCTCCACAGTGACAGTGATGGATTTAGACAACTGATTCACAGACAGCTCAAAGTTTGGTATGGGATCTAAGTCACACACACACACAAAAAAAAACAATTGTAAAAAAATACACGAGTGACACATTGAAGGAAAAATGTAGGTACGAGAATGAGTTTAGAAACACAGACAGAAGGCATACAAATCAAAACAAGGTTATTCTGAGATAATACAGAGATGAGTGTTTTATTTTTCCAGGGTAAGAATGACCCCATTCACAGCGTATGAAGGGTGACTACATATTTTGATGGGGATGAAAAAGATGTGACTCATATGCCACAACCATTCCAGTCACCAGATCTGAACCTAAATGTGCACAGATGTGTTGTGAGAGCGCTCTTCAACCACCATCACCACCAAATGAGTGATGGTGGCCATTTTATCACTCACCTGAGACAGGGTATATCACACTAGACTGTACCCTTGTGCTATACAGGGTTCTCTGATGTAGAAAGAATCAGGGAGAACATGGGGGGGGGGGAGGAAGATTTGAACTGTAGCAGAAAGGAAAGAGGTAAAACACCCAGAATACACTCTACCTGGTATTGTGTAACTGACATTGCAGCTCGTTGATGTTGTGATGTAGGACACAGAAACAACCTGCTTTGCAAAAGTCTTGCCAAAATCACAGACCTGCTCCCACTGGAAAAAAGGAAAAAATACAGTATTATTTTCATAAAACCTTCTACACTACATTAGAGCCTAAAAAAGAAAAAAAATCATCTTACCGGAGAACACTGCGGGCCTTGGCAGTCACCCTTGACTTGGGTTTCACTATGTTTTCTGTCATTGTCACGCTAAGAAAGACAGAATAAAGAAAGAGAAGTGATACCATCGTTTTTCGCCTTCTTGAACTAATATGAATTGTTGGCTCATAATGAACATAATTTTATATACATACACAGTTTGGGTTAGGTGCACAGTTGTTTTTGTTTTTCCTCTTTGTCCTAGGCTTAATTGTCTCTTTAAATGGGGAGAGAATTTCAATCTTTGTGGTCTTACAAAAGTCTGGAAGAAAGCAATAGAACAGACATTTCAACATTTCGGCTTTAGCTTTAAACATATGATAACAAAATAGACTTTTGCAGCAGTGGGTTTTGCCTCTGTACCATCAGCTCTCATCCAAACAGTGACATGTTCAGAGTAAATCCCCCCAGACTCCATGGACAGGACTGAGGTCAGTTTCACAGGACAGCCTCCCTCGGCATAATCTGTCAGCACAGACAGAGAAGAGCATTAGTGACACACGTGGCTTCCTTCTCCACATGATATAATTAAATGAAAGTAATGTGATGGGAAACCAATATTAACTAGAACACTTACCAGTTAGATTTCCCACCTAAAGTAAGCATAAGAGATAGACAACATAGGTTAAGGAAATATAAAGTATCCACAAATCACCATGCATCCATCACAGTCTGTTGGTATAAATGATTTGGATGTAATAAATCTAATCTTATTTAAATATTTAAAATGACTTCCCCCACAATTAATACAACTGTATGCGCATTATGAGATTAAATCTGTATACAAAACAGTTTTAAACTCACCAGGCATTTTTGGTTACATTCCAGCTGCAGAGGAAACACCGCGGCGGCAATAAATGCCACGGCGATGTTAAAACACCTTTTATACATCGAAAAGATCTTTTAAAATTAGGAAATAATCGCTTAATTAAAAGCCAGGGTGTTGCGCACTCCCGCAGTTTGGTCGCTGATCCATTCAGCTGCTGTCTGCGTGCAAAGCCCAAAAAAACCCTTGTGCAAGATATTTTCCTTCGAGTTCAGCTGTGAACTGCTGTTTGCTCCTCGTCCACAAGCGTTGCCAAATGACTGAACCATTGTTAAAAAAAAAAACACACACAACACATGAACGTTTCGCATGAGAGCATCACAGCTCCGCCTCTCATCACAGCCCCAGATACAAAAGGAGATAAGGCCAGGGTAGAAAGCTCTGAGTTCAATCTTTGTTAAAATTACTTTCCTGGGGCTACTATTGTGTTGACGCCCTTTCAGACGGACAATGGCATTCCCACAAGTAATAGTAAGCCGAGTGGGTCAAAGATTCTATATAGTGTGTAGAGGGTGACGCTTCCTCCCATGCTGTTAAGCGCTTTACCAGTTACAGTCAGGAAGTAATGGTAAAGAGAACTGAATGCCATTGTTTCTTTATCTTTCAGTCACTCACACCACACACCCCCTTCTGCTGTTCCAGTTTATTTTGCAGCAATAGTATGATTTCACCTAGAGACCTCCCACTTTCAGTTAAATATAGAGGGTCTTCAAAAAGTAGATCACCCCTCTTTGAGGTTTTCATGGTTTGAAGAGAACACAGATGTCTACAAAATGATTTTAGTTCAGTACAGTTTTGTAAAATATAAAATATGTGCTTGCACTTGTACCAACACCTATGTCATCACTGGTGACCTGACCTTGGGTGAGTCAGTACCGTGACCAAATCTATTCCGCGAAGACAAAGATGCACTCCAAGCTATTTCAAGGAAGAGTTTCTGAGGCTGATATTGGCCAGACTGCACATACAACAACAACTGACAGCTGCTTTATCAATAAGCCTAATGGGAGATTTCCAAAGAGAAAGCCAACTCTGAGGTCAGCTGCTAGTCAAGAATGGCTTAGTGTCCCAGTCAACCTCTCAGTCTAATCAAGAATGTGAGGCTGGAAAATGGCTGTTCAGTCACATGAAGAAGTTTTATTTTATTTTGCTAAGAATGAGGAATGAGGTGTTCAGATCTCACAGAGATAAAGCTACACAGACCCAACTCTGTAAATGCTGCCAAAGTTCATCAGCTAAATACTGACTTGGAGGTGGTGAACATGTGCAAATGAGTATTTTATATTCTATCAATGTGATTACTTTAGATCCCATTTACTTTGACATTGAATCTACTTTGGGTTTACTACTCTGTCTTGAATGCCTGAGGGGTCTATAAATGACCGTGCAGTATGTGTGTGTACAGAGATAGGGGATACAGACAGTAGATGTGGTAGTTACAGTTACGACGGAATAAAACAGGACTTTGTTAGAGAAAAACAGGTTTCCACAACACCACAAGTCATCTCGAGTGCTGATGCTTATCACGTGTTTCCACTCACATTTGTGAGTGTTTCTGAAAGCAGGAAACAGAGGGGTGTCGTTTTGGTTGCAAATCTGAAGATGTTGTGGTGAGTGGGTGTTCCACTCGGGTGGGGGATCTTAATCGTATGGGGAAAACATGATCAAAAACTCTATTTTGGAGGAAGGAAATTCACACTGGTTGTCAAGAGATATTTGTCATCACAGACTAATGAGCTCATTTAGCAACTGATAATGTAAATAGTAAGTCACTTTATGAGAAATGTAATTAAAATGTAGTCATAAGCTATTAAACGTGAAGAAGCTGGGACACTGATGTCTTTTTCGTGATATCCTGTATCTTTTTTCCCTGTTTTTGTGTTTTGCGTGATTTTATTTTGACAGGTTATTTAATTAATTATTTAATCCCAGCTATAGACACATTACCTGGGATTATTATGGACAAAATCACATATAAATCATGGAGCAACCCAACTGCTGCCTTAACATCAGGCATGTTAATGAGTACCTATGTTTCTTTTTTTTTTTTTTTTAGTAAAGTCCAACCAGTAGAACCAGTGTACAGTAAGTCAATGCGTTATAGAACATAAAAAATCCCACAAGAAACCTGCAGAACTAGTGTGGACGTCTTATGGTTGACTCAACTGTAACTCTATATTAACTGTCCTACCCTCACAGAGACGTTATCAACTGACACTTACAAGAGGTATGTCTCAGCTTGGTAAACATACTATGATTCAACTCCCTGAGGTAGGACGAAGAAGCCTGTGGGCTGAGGAAGGTATTATTTATTTCCAATGAGTCAAATTGAGACAGTGTTTACTCTGATTTAAAATAATAAGTTAACTTGAGTGTTCAGGCAAATATGGACACTAAAGTATAAGCAATCCTTCCGTACAAACATGAAAGATGACAGATTTCACTTTCAGCAAATATTGCTCTTAAACTGAGGTGTTCTGTCAGCCTGTGTGAATCCGTATCAGAAACATACAACATAATTATTCTTGAGAAGCACTTACAAGTCACCATTTCCTTAGAAAGAGAATGTACGGTTAAGTATTTTCCGCCGAACACACAGGATACTCCACACAATAGCCTCCCGCAAGGAAAAGCCTGCACAGGAAAAGCACTGAAAACCTAACAACCCAGTCCACACACAGTGACCACAACATGACTCACAAGTTTAAAAAACTCAATTCTTTTTATTAAACTTCTATTCTTTATGCAATCTGTATATATAAAAGTTCTAAAGCCATCAGCCTGAGACTAATACAGACAGTGAGGCGATCATGTGTTTCAGTTCAGTCCTCATTATTCGTTGACCAGCGGCCTGTGTGACACAGACGTACGTTAACAAAACCGTAAAAACAGGAGACATGATGAACACAGAGTGACAGACGGAAAAATGGACCACACAATGATGTCTTGTGTAGCCGGAGTGATTAGAAGTAGTCCATGATAAAAAAAAGGAGCTTGTGGACCTTGTTAAGAAGGAGTAAGCAGAATAAATAACATTAACGTTGGTTCGCCAACACTTCAGTCTCTCTTTGTGCTCCACTTACAAATGACTGGACACTAGCACCTGGCCTGTTTGTTTTTGTTGTTTTTTTTGGTGGGTGAAAGATGTGCTGGGCCGATGGCATTCGCAGTCATACCCACAATATGTGCATTTAACGTACACTACGTGCATTTCCCTGTTCAAATGTAAAATTACATGTGTGAATGTATGTTTAAGAATAACAGGGAGAGGCAGAGTCGTGTGTGCATCATAGTGCAACAATGTGTTAATTTGTTGAGTATGTAAACCATCATCTCATTAGTTATTAAACATATATCGACCACATACAAGGAATATTTCTGATTGATGTTTCTGAACATAGCATATTTTTCCATCATTATTATTAATACCATTTTTTTCAATTCTCTTAAATACAATATTTTACATGTCAGATTAAATACGGCTTAGTGTGCGTGAGTGTGTGTATCTTGGGGGGGCCAATGTAGTGGATGTAGATCCCACTCTGTGCTACTGGCACTGTTTCTTGTGTTCTGTGACGGAGGGTTGGGCTCTCGATAGAGACACATATACTCCACGACACCTGTAAGGTCCAACACATAGCGTGTGTGTTCAGTCACTGTCACTGGTCTCGCTGCTGGGGTCTCCCTGCACTTTGCTGCGGTGCTGCATCGCACGGTGGTAGGCCACCTGCACTGACTTGCGGATGTTGGATTTCCTGCCCTCCAGCATCTTCTCCTTGTCCAGCTCCTGGTCCACCCCGAGCGGCACCAGCTTAGAGCGCGGCAACCACTGCCTGTATACACACCAACATATATACACACAGACACATATACTCGAGTGTTAAATCATTTCCAATCAAATGGAGGTACAGTGTGCTTAGTTTAGAGTAAAACATGCATCAGAAGCAAAAACAGACAAACTGTAATCATAACAGGTCCTAACGTTTCATAAGGAAGACAAATTTGATGAAGAAGTTCCTGGTTCCTTAACTCTTCAGATGAGGCATACACAATGTGAAAGTAGATTAACTGCTACACATCCTTTAAGGGGATAGTCAAGGTGACGACGAGGTAATTCTTAGATTTTTTTCCCCAATGAACTTACAAGCAACCCTCAAAGAGAAGTGATTGTGCAGCACACCATGACCTATAATCACTCCTCTTCTATTCTCTAAAACCACGTTCGTCCTATTTCTGCTAAATGTTCTGTCGTCTAGCACTTCAGTACACGTACAGCAGTTTCCTTTGAACTATTGCCACAGAGTTACTTTTGTGCACGCATCCAGTAACATCAGACGCTTATTTTGCTTGCGCCTTGAGTTTTACTGTACTTCATTGTGAAAAAGAACAAAATGTCAGTGAGAACAAACAAAGAAGAAACAAACTTTAAGAACGATTAGTAAAAATACAATGAGTGAATACGAACAGATGAGACAAGATGACCCAGGGCACTGACCAAGTTCTCTTGTTGTCAAAGAAGAGGACCAGGAACAGGTGCTCCCTTGCCTCCTGGGTCATCTGCTCCCCTAGTTTTAGCACATCCAAAGGGGGGACAGGGATTGGGACACCCCGGTGGAACACCCCCTCCCTGGGCATCTTCGGGTCAATTATCTGCATGCAAACGGTGGAGGAGGGTTAGACGTATCCTGCAGCATGTCCTTAAGTAAACAGTTCACTTGGCTCTTGTCAGCATTATTTATTTTTATTCATCCACTTGTGTCTCACCAGAGCCGGATATGAAGGATAGCCTCTGCACTTGGCCCACACCAGGTCCAGAGCTTCCAGAGAAGAATAGTCATCAGAGGTCATCCAGCATCCTGACCTGGCCCGGCCTCGAACCACTGACAGTAAAGAACACAGCAACAGGAAGACAGTCATCATTGTGCAACCTCACTTCTTGCTAAACAGTACATAGTACAGTAAACAGTACGTGTTGCTCCAGATCTACTAGATTTCGATTCAATATGAACCAGTTTCATGACAACATAATATTTTTAAAAGTAATTTTTCATTGGTACTAAAGAGTCAAATCATATCAGATCAAAACATATTTTGCAGCTTGTCTCTAATGAATTACCAGCTAAATTCAGATTCAAATCTTTCTGAGAACACGCTCACTATCTACAAAAATAGAAACAAATTATGTATGCAGCGACAAATGAAGGTGTGTGTGTGCGTAAGGGTTTGAATGTGTGAAAACGCCCTTACAATGCGAAACGCTTCTCGATCCTCCGACGGAGTAGGAATCATTTTCAGTGCCCGACGTCTCCTCACTGCTATCCTCCTGGAAGGCAGAGCGAGAGAACGACGCCTTCCCTCTGCCCTGCTTAGAGGGGGTCGTACTGAGAGTGAAGAGGACACAGGGTTATAAAGATGCATATAAATGTATTAAAGTGTTATGGGTCAAAGATGTTATTAACACCACAGAATACCATAGAAAATAAAGGATAGAGAAATTAGTACTCTTGGTCAATGTGATTGCTTCTGTTTATGCATCATAC